ACTTATACTTGCTATGGGTGTGACTATTCCTGGTTAAGGGGACCTTGATAATGTTGGGTATTGTACCCCTCGCACGTAACGACTTACGACAGCAGATGTGGAAATCTGGGCCCATCCCTTTTCCGGCGACGAAGCAAAGTACCAAAAGGTCCAAGAAATTTGTCGATGGCCCGACACTGTGTCGCAGTTAGGTTCTTGGGCCGGATCGCTGGTGGAAGGAAAATCGAACAAACAATCCGCCCGGCCGCTTGAGACTAGCCTGTATTCAATATCTAACTACCTATAATTATGTCGTCGATGACCTGCTATCGGTATTGCCAACATGTCCTGCTAACTGGTTTAAAACACGGAACCGTAGAGAACTTTCAAAGAAAAAAGATCGTGTGCCTCGGATTAAAACAATTGATATATCTTACAAAATGAGACAATAAAAATGGTGGAAATGCATCAATCCGTATGATCCAACGGTCACTGACAGATGCAAACAGACGAATACTAGCGTTGCTGCCAATTGTTGGGGCCACCGTAAGGAGTGGGTCTAGGGTAGTGTGCGCCGCCGCGCATAGGACCACCGCTGTAGGGTTGTTGGGGAGGATAGGAGCCGAAAGTTTCGGGGTTTGGAGGATAATCCCAGGACTGAGCTGTACTACTTTCATAGTTATACCCATTACCTAATTTCAATCTATAACTAGCAGAGCAAAATTACCGTATGATTCTTGACCATAAGCTGGACCATAGTTTGACGCACCGTAACCCTGGTTATAACCTTGATTCCAACCTTGCTGACGGTAATCGGGTGGGCCTAGCAAAATCTAACGAAGCACATTATATTTACCGTGATTCCAGTATTGTGGAGGTCCTCCTCTGGGGGGTCTGGAACGGAGCTTTCCCATCTCTTCTTTGCTGAGGGCTTTCCGTACGTCAATTTTATTTTCCTTTACCATGTGAGGCCGAGCCAATATGACTTTATCAACAGCATCGGTATCGTCAAAAGTGACGAAGGCGAAGCCGCGGGATTCATTGGTCTCTTTGTTCATTACAACTTGAGCGTCGACAACGTTGCCGAAAGTTGAGAAATAGTTGTTGAGATCCTCGCTGGTTACGTCCTTTTTTAAGGCACCAACAAATATCTTCTTGACTGCTGCATGCACTTCCGGACTGCTCTCCTCACGTG